ATATATATTTACTATCTTCTTACCTATAAAAACGTAAAGCTATCTCTGGCTGGTCAGAGTAAAAATGATTACTTGCAATGCATGCAATGGCTTCCACATGGGTATTATCTTGTTTTAAGACATCTTTATAGCATTCTGCAGCTGTAGAAATGTTGTTCATTTCCTATAAACAGATGAAAAGATAAAAGTATTTTAAATTACACATGATTAATAAAAACAAAAAGATATAGAATGAAATTCAAATTTTATCAGTAGCTCTGTTACCTCTATAGTACTTCAGGCTAGCATATTATCTTATAAATGCTTCTCGTATCATATCGTCATTTTGTAATTCTTTGATTATGATTGCAATATTTTCAGAGCAGTTTTCCACTAATAATTTTATGTTCCTTGTTCTATTTAGACTGAATATAACATTGCTCCTACCAATAGTCCTCATCAAACAGCTATGCACAGAAATGTTGGAATATCCAACTTTACAGCTTTTATTATAATTCTCAGATATCTGCTGCATCAAGCATATCTGGGTAAAATTTTGGAGCTGTACTGAATGAATTACAGTGTAACTGAGAAAGACAACTTGAAATTATCTTTGGAATTTAACAGCTCTGGTTATGAAAATATCCTTCAAAAGTAATTAGGGTGAATAAAAATACATCTCTTCTAATTTTACTGAACAAGAACAAATATACTTGAAAAGGTGCATATATGTGTTAATCACATATAATTATAATTTTTTATTTTATGTGTTCACCATTTTTTCTAGCTTACTCAAAGTAAGTAGCCATATGTTTTTGGTTATTTCCTACTTCTGTTTATGGATTGCTGTTGGGTAAAACATTACTACCGTGTTTCTCACAAAATAAGGCCGGGCCTTATTTTTTTTTGACCCCCCCAAAAAACGGCTAGGCCGTCTTTTCGGGGGTGACTTAATTCCCCCCCCTTGCATCCTCAAGCGGGCAGGCGGCGACGGCTTGGATGTTGACCTCGGCGTTGGTGGGGCACTTCGTATCGGGAAACCTTCTGCCATTGTTGCTTTCCCTTCTCCCCGTGCTGCCGTGGCATTTAAAGCAACGCCGCGGCGTTTGGTGCAGCCATGCACGGCCAGCCAGGGCTCCTCCCTGCAACCGGAGTCCGGCAGAGACACTCGGCTTCAGGCGCTCCTGTCGCTGCCTTCCCTTTGCCTTCGAAGGCAAAGCCAATTCTTTTAAAAACGACGCCCTACTACTGTACGACAGAGTCCCCTGCCCGAGAGGGCAGCCTAACCCCAGGTGGGGAGGCAAAACTCCCGGGGCCGCAGCGCAGGATCGGCCCACCCCGGGAGAAGTGCCCAGCCGCCATCCCTGCCTGGCACCAGGCAGAACGCGAAGAGCTTCTCCTGGGGCGCCCAGCGCAGCTGACAGGCGGGCCCTCCTGCCTGGCGGCGGAGCTCTCGCCAAGGCAGCGAGCGCCTCCCCGCCGGACCCTCCGCTCATCCCGCCAGAGACGTGCAGGCTGGGCAGAGCCGGGAAAGCAAGCCGTGGGTGCGCACCCGCCTGCCAAGCAAAAGAGCCGAGCCGACCCAAGCTTGGCTTCCTTCCCAAGTCCCTCCAGCCTGAACCCAAAGGGGCCACTGGGAAAAGCTGCCCGAGGCAGTGATAGAGCCCACCCATCTGTGGACAGGGAGGCAAGGCGAAGGCCTGCACCGCGTCCTCCGAGCTGAACCCCGAGTGAGCGCCTCTGCCCGATGCCCATGCCGCTGCAGCGTTTGGAGATGCCGGCGCGTTTGGAGATGCGTGGGGATGGGGACAGGCTGGGCGAGGGGTGGAAAGGATGGGCGGCTTCGGGCTCTCTCCCCCGGACCTGCCGGCCAGGGAAGCAGCGCTGCTGTCGCCTCGCCTCCCTGTCCACGGATGGGTGGGCGTTATCACTGCCTCGGGCGGACTCTCCCGGTGGCCCCTTCGGGTTCGGGCTAGAGGGACTTGGGAAGGAAGCCAAGCTCGGGTCGGCTCAGCTCTTTTGCTTGGCAGGCAGGCACGCACCCACGACTCGGGAGTAAAGCCACAAGTGGATGGTGAATGCCCCCTCCCCTAGAGTATAAAAGAGGAGCAAAAGGGGAGTGGGGCTTTGCAGGAGACAATTAGTTCACTCCGGCATGTTGCCAAGTATTTTGGCATCTGAAAGATATAGGCCTGGACACTCTCCAAGCCTGATAAAGGTTTTTAATTGGGAACTATCCTGAAAGACTGTTGGCCAGGACTTTGTTGGAGGAAATTCATTGTAAATCAAATAAAAGTGGTTTATTGGGACATGGACTCAGCTTTGTGCTGTTGGGGGAAGCCTAGGTCAGAACAGACGTGCTCCTTCCCAAGCACTCACTTTATAAGCATATTCATAATATTCTCTGAAAAATCTAAGTGCTTCCCAGTCCCAAAGTCTGGGAGCTCTAACAAGGAGAAAATATTGACATTCATATATATGTGGGAAGGCAAACTTTTTTGGATAAAAATTTTTTAACTGAAAAACATTCAAGGCTTTCTAAATTTCCATTATAACTTTAGTTGCATAACTCTTCATTTCAACAACCTTTGAAAGAACAAGTCTTCTCTAAAAAAATTTATGCACTTGTTATATTTAAATTTTACAATACTTCCTTCTATTTTGCCCCACAACCATAGCCCTGTGAAGTAGTTTGGGCTAAGAGAGAAAGTCACCCAGGGAGTTTCATTGGCTGAGGAGAGACTAGAACACAAATCCCCCTGGTGCCAATCCAACATCTCATGTCCCACACACAAGGATTCTCTTAACCATTTTGTAATCTCTGAAATAATTGTACTGTGCAATAATTCTTACTAATGTACTTGCGGCCCTCCATTCTCCCAATACCCATGAAATCATTAGCAAGCTGCAAAAAAAATCAACTAGTTTGTTAAGTTCTACCTGTCTTTATTGTTTGAAACAATGAATACTAGAAAAAGACCTGATAATGACTCCTTTGTCCAAGCATGGATGTTTCTCTGAAACTGAACTATAAGCAGCTACTTCAGTGGAAGCTAGAAGAGATATAACTCAGTAATAAACTAAAACATACCAAATTTCAGTCCTTGTATTTAGATTTTATACCTACAGCTATTGCAACAGTTTTAGAAATACTAGAGGAGGAATTGCTAAAGCTAGAGAATGGGTCAGTTCTTCTATTCTTACATTTTAGAACAAAGAAGCCACAAGCCTAGTCTTAAAGTTGTTCTCACATTCTGCCTCCTTAGCATTAACTTATTTGCACATCTAGTATTGGAATTTAAAGCAAAAAACTATTTGAAGGCATACTTATCAATTGTCCTCTTGATGCAGGAGAAAAACCTGATTTGCATACCTCATGAATCCTGGCCATACCACAAAGGAGGGAAACTTCTCCAGGAAATCGTTCTAACCCTTGTTTGAAAACATTTAAAGCTGTCAGAGGCTGATCCAAGCGGGAATATACCTGGGCAAATAAATGGGTGTAGCTCCATCAATGTTAAGACATTTTGACACTACCTCTACTTATGTTCCAGGACAAAATTCAGATAATGCCACAACACTATACCACCATTCTTTTTTACTTCTCTAAAAATATTTAATGCAACTGTTTTGTGTCCATCTGCAGAACTAGTTCATTCATTCCAACCCATGAAATCACCAGTTACATCCCAGCCCCCAGCCCCAAGATAACGGGCTTCTCTGTTAGGCCTTCAGCAGGACACGGCAGGCAGTGAACTTTCAAGAGTGACAGGACAGTAGTATAGTCTTGTCAAAGGCACCTGCTGATGCCAGCTAGAAAATGCTGGTTACTAAGTCTAAGGATAGGTACTATCCCCAATGTATACATATTGACTTTTAACGGTATTCTAGCCATTTGTAAAGAGACAAGGTAGACTATCAGCTGTTTTTTTTAAAATTTGTTCAAGAATTTGGAAAGGATTGTATTAAAAACAAATTTCTTTAAAAGACTGAACTCAAATACCTAACATGCATATACATGGGGT